AACATTTATTTTTTTAGTTCTTGGCGGACACAACATCTTTGTTTGTATGTGGTGCTGAGGATCGAACCCCGGCCGCACGCATGCCAGGCGAGCTCGCTACCGCTTGAGCCACATCCCCAGCCCCCCCAGCCCCTTTTTATTTTTTATTTAGAGACACGGTCTCACTAAGTTTATTAGGACCTCTCTATGTTGCTGAGATTGGCTTTGAACTTGTGATCCTCCTACCTCAGCTTCCTGAGTTACTTGCATTACAGGCATGCACCACCATGCCCAGCTCCAGCACATATTTTGAAGTTTTGCAGTAAAGCATCTTAGCCCTGCTTTTTGCCAAACCTTGGGACAGATTTGTGATTCTCAGAAAAGCTTTGATTGAAATGGACAGATTCTGGGGTTTCAGAAATAGTCACATCCAGTTAATTAAGGAGACTGTGTAGATTCTGAATTTAAGATTCCGAATATAAAAAGTCCATTTTGCCTTTCCAAAAATGATCATGTTCCGGTAATGAGGTCTGTGATCATTCCTTGAGGAAAGGTGTAACTTTGAGAAGGGTGGGTTTCCAGGGGATACTCCTTTAAAGTCCACTGCAGGCCCTTTTTCTTAAGGCAAGTCATGCATTGTAGTGTAGGTTTTACAAAAATAATGAATAGGAATGGAAGTGACTCTGACTTTCTTTAAAGGACCGACCATTATCAGCCAGAGAGAGGAGGCGATTAAAGCAGTCCCAGGAAGAGATGTTCCCCTCAGGTGAATGTGACCTCTTTTCTTCATCTACATGGCAGTTGATGGCTTGGCTTATTGGTATTGTACAGGTTTTGATTGTGAGGTGTTAAGACTTTTAAGCAGCAGTAATCCATTGGGAAAATTGAAGAGTTTGTGAAGTTTCTTAACCTTTTTTAAAAAAAAAGGCTGGGGTTGTGGCTCAGTGGTAAGGCACTTGCCTAGTATGCATGAGGCACTATGCCAGAACCACGAAAAAATAAAAAATAAAGGTATTATGTTCATCTACAAATAAAAAAAAATTTAAAAATCATAGGAAAGTAAGAGGTGGGGAAGGAAGGGGGAAGTGCTGGGGAATGATATTGGCCAAATTATATTGCTATATTGTGTGCTTGTACAAATACGTAACAATAAATTCCATCATTATATACAACCATAATGCACCAATAAAAATTATGGAAGGGTTGGAGATACAGCTGAGTTGGTAGAGTGCTTGCCTTGCAGGCACAAGGCCCTGGATTCAATCCCCAGCACCACCAAAAAAAAAAAAAAAAAAAAAAAAAAAAAACTAAAATCCAAAAAAAAAAAAAAAAAAAAAAAAAAGCAAGAGGGCTGTGAGTGGCAGTCACTCCTGGGAGATTTCAGACTGGAAATCAAGTGAATGATCAAATTGTTTTCATGTTCGAAGTGTGCTGCTCAGAGAAGTCCTCTCAGGAACAGAGAGGAAGCCAGGAGAATGGTGCTGCCTTAGGCTACACAATATAAGCAGTTTCCATTTATTGAATGCTAATATGTCTCTAGAATGCTAACTATGTGTCTAGCATTATGGTAAGCATCTTTAGGGCATTAGTTCATTTTATATTTATAGTAACTGCCAAAGATAAGCAGCATTATCCCCATTTTGCCAGGGAAAAAAACTGAAGTTCTGAGGGGTTAAGTAATTTGCCCAAGGTCACAAAGCTGGTTGACCTGGAACTAAGGTTTGAACTGAGGTGCCAGACACAAGAGCGATGACGAATATTCTGTTTCAGTTATTTCTGGCTGGCTGTTGCTGGGTTATCTTCTATACCCAGTGTAAAGCCCTCTTCAGTTGATATCATCCCACCACAAACAACTGCTGGGGTGGGGGGGTGTTCATTTTTTCAGGCCCTTCAGTGAGAACATCTCTGAGTGCAGTGGGGCCAGGGAAACTGCAGCAGGAAAGCCAGCACATCCCTGCCCGACGGTTCTCTTCTGACTGCAGCATCACTCAGGTGCCTTACACCCTCCTAAGGGGAAAAGTGGACATGTCTACATGTGGGAATCCTTATAAGTGTCAGCTCCATTTATTTCAGGGACTGGGCTGGTTAAGTTATACCTTTTCACTCTGGATAAAGAGAGGAACTGGTAAACGATAATTAGAAGGATATTCTTTGACCCATTAAGAGTATAAAGTTTTCAGGCATTCTTCCAAACAAATGGCTGTCTAGTTAAAAGTATTTCTTAGGTAATCTTTAACACAGACTTCCTAAAAGCTTCCACTACTCAATACTTTGCTTATTCTGTCTGCAGTGTTACTAATATAATACCCAACCATGTGGTTAGATTTTAATTTCATTTGCCAATCATCATTCCTCGGTGTCCTGTTTGTGCAAGTTTAGTTGACCTTCTTGCTTATGGATGAGGTAGGGATACCACTTGGTGGCTAAATGGGCAAATAGTGGTTAACCCATGTTCATCTTTCTGTATAATACCCTGGGGATTAATTTGCTTTGCCCTTTGAATATAATGAAGGTGTTGTTACTTTAATGATATTATTTTTTATTTCATTAATTGAGGCTTCCATATCCATTTTCCAAAGTTGTACGGTTTTTGTTAACTATATCAGGTAATCCTTTAAAGCACTGTAATGATCTCATATATGATGAAGCTGAAGTTCCCTTGATTTAGGTGGCATTCTATGTAGTTTAAAATGCCAACATTTCTTATGGGACAGGCCTTCTGCTTGGGAGTTGAGACACTAGCATCGGTCCTTCACTTTCCTCTGTAGAGGAAATTTTTTCACAGCTGAGACTCCTCGAGGTTTTATAAAACTTTACCTATTGATAGTCTTTAGGCTTCACTTGTGAACTTCATGAGTGAACTGGGGCATCAAAGTTAATTCAATTTTGATATCTATTTTGGGTCGAGTCATTGCATCTAACACTATTTAATGTATTAACATTCTAATTGTATTTTTATGTGGAATTTTGTTTTTTTCCCAAATATTAATAGGAAAGAAAAATGATTCATTGCCTGTCTGAGGATGAGTTAAGTTCTTCTACAAGTTCAACTGATAAGTCAGATGGGGATTCCAGAGAAGGGCAAGTTCTTAACTTTTCTGTCTCCCTTCAGAAACTATTTCTGGTTGAAGTATCCTAAATGTACATTTATAGTAGTATTTTGACCTATAGTACTCTCATTGATAACATTATAAATGGTTTGTGATACATGATAGAGCAAAAAATATTTCTTCTAAGAACACATCTAATTTTCATTCAAAATTCTTGTAGGATATCTTTTTGGATCTATGAGTTTATAGTTTTCATCACATTTGGAAAAATTTTAGACATTATTTCTTCTCAATTTTTTTGGACCTCCTCTCATTCTCTTGGGGATTCTAATTACATGTATATTGGATTATTTAAGTTGTCCAACAGCTCACTGATGCACTGTCCATTCTTTTTTCTTTTTTTGTTTCTTTTTCATAGATCCTATTGTTGTATCTTTGAGTCCACTAATCTTTTTTCTTCTGCACTTTATAATCTGTTTATCCTATCCCATTAACACATTATATTTTTCATCTCTAGAAGTTCAGTTTGGGCTAGATGCCATGACACACACCTGTAATCCAAGTGACTGGGGAGGCTGAAGCAGGAGGATTGCAAATTTTAAGCCAGCCTGGGCATCAGAGGGAGAACCTGTTTCAATATAAAAAGCACTGAGGATGTAGCTCAATGGTAGAGTACTCTGGGTTCAATCCTAGTACAGCCAAAAAAAAAAAAAAAAAGTTTGTTTTGGGTGTTTTTTAATATCTTCTGTGGCTCTCCTTAATGTTTGTTTTTGTCTACCTTGGCTATTTGGAATATATTTATAATAACCACTTGAATGTCCTCACTACTAATACTATCACTTATGTCACTTCTGGGTCTGTTTCTATTAACCAGTTTTTTTCTTTTCACAAATAGGTGATGTTTTCCTGCTTCTCTGCATTTATGGAATTTTTGAATTTATACCATTGAGGACTAGTATTCCTGTGTTTCTTTAAATATTCTTTTTTTTTTTTTTTTGGGACTGGCACTGTAACGAGCATTTTCACATAATGTATTTAAACTGTCTCCTATTTTTTTTTTTGGCAGGAGGTGGGGTACTGGGAATTGAACTCAGGAGCACTCAATCACTGAGCCCATCCCCAGCCCTATTTTGTATTTTGTTTAGAGATGGGGGTCTCACTGAGCTATTTAGGGCCTCGCTGTTGCTGAGGCTGGCTTTGAACTCACCATCCTTCTATCTAAGCCTCTCAAGCTGCTGGGATTATAGATGTGTGCCATTGTACCTGGCTCTTTTTTTTCTCTTCTTTTTTTATTTTTTCTTTTTAAGCGGTAGGTGGACACAATATATCTTTTATTTTTATTTGGTGCTGCGGATCTAACCCAGTGCTTCACACAGGTGAGGCAAATGCTCCACTACTGAACTATAACACCAGTCCTCTTTAAATATTCTTTGTATTTGGATGTAATTAAGTTACTTGGAAATAGAGAAGAATGGCTGGGCAGAATTTGCACACAAAATCAAGGGTTGCTTCTTTCATATCTTCTCCTTTCCAAGATTCCTGATTTTCTTGGAAAATTTCTTGGCATGGTTGTCTTGAACCTCTGTCCTTTGGTTCTTCAGGCCAGAAAGATTGTGGGTTTTCTTTTGTGCTCTGAGCTGCTTATGACTGTCCTTATGTTAAAAAGGGTTGACTGTTTTCTAGACTCTGCCTGCAAATTTTGTTCATTCTCCATCTCGTATGTAAATTTTGTTTTTGTTATTGTTAATTTTTTAATATTACTAAGAGTTTATAGTTATTTTTGTGGAAGGGTCAGTCTGTACGAGCTTTTGTGGGCATTAGGAAGCAGAACTCTTTTTAAAAATATTTATTTATTTATTTATTTTAGTTGTAGTTGGACACAATACCTTTATTTGTTTGTATGTGGTGCTGAGGATCGAACCCAGGGCCTTGTGCTTGCTAGGCGAGCGCCCTACCACTGAGCCACAACTCCAGCCAGGAAGCAGAACTCTTTAAATGTCATTGCATCTAATTTTGTGTGTGTGTGTGTGTGTGTGTGTGTGTGTGTGTGTGTGTGTTGTACTGGGGATTGAACCCAGTGGTACTCTACCACTGAGTCAAGGTCTCGCCAAGTTGCCCAGCCTAAGCTTTTTCTGCTTTAGCCTTCCAAGTCATTGGGATTACAAGTGTGTACCACTGTGCCTAACTGTATCTAACTTATAGTGAAAAATCCTCACAAAGCCAAGTAAATAACAAGGAGATTTTCTTTTTTAATAGGAAAAGTCATACAAATGAAATGAGTGACTTGGTACAACTGATGACTGAGACTCTTAAGCTGGATTCTAAAGAGAGCTGTGAAGATCTTGCATTACCAAATCCAGTGTCAGAATTTAAACTTCATCGAAAGTATCGGGATACGCTGGTGCTTCATGGAAAAGTGGCCCAAGAGACAGAGGAACTCCAATTTAAAGAGCTGCCTTCAGGTGATCAGTTTATTCTTTTACACCAAACTAGAAAATGTGTTTGTTAGAATAATGTGTCAAACCAAAGAGCTAATATTTATAAATTTGTTTTTAATTTCATTTGAATATCTCCATAAAAGGTATCTCTCATTTTATGCAATAGATATACTTGAAAAGTTGCGTGAAAATTAATTTTTAAAAGTAATATAGGGGGGCTGGGATTGTGGCTCAGCGGTAGAGCGCTCATCTAGCAAGTGCGAGACCCTGGGTTTGATCTTGAGCACCACATAAAAATAAACAAAATAAAGATATTGTGTCCAACTATTAAAAAAAAAAAAGTAAATGTAGGCTCAGTGGTAGAGTGCTTGCCTAGTACATGCGAGACACTGGGATCGAACCTCAGCACCACATAAATAAATAAAGTTATTTTAAAAAACAAAAGTAAATGTAAATAACCCAATAACTCTTTTTTTTTTTTTTTTTAAGGTTAGGAGATAGTAGTGAGACGTGAAGCTTAAGTTCATATATAAAGTTTTTGTTTTTGTTATTGTTTTTTCAATATTAGGGGTTGAATCCAGAGGTGCTATACCACTGAACTACATCCCCATCCCTTATTTAAATTTTAAGGGGTCTCACTAAGTTGCCCAGCTGGCCTTGAATTCACAATCCCCCTGCCTCAGTTTCCTGATTGCACTGTTGGCATATGCCTTTAATCCCTATAAAGGCTGACTTCAAACTTGCAATCCTACCTCAGCCTCCTGAGTTGCTGGGATTACAGGCGTGTATCACCATGCCTAATAAAATTTTTTAAAAACCATTGTGATATTGTGTTTTTCTTGTTGTAGTGTTGAAAATGTTTATTATTTCCTGGTTTTGTTATTGATTTTTAGCTATAATGCCAGGTTCTGAAAAGATCAGAAGAATAGTTGAAGTCTTGAGAGCGGATGTCATCAGGGGCTTGGGAGTCCAGCTTTTAGAGCAGGTATATGATCTTTTAGAAGAGGAGAATGAATTGGAGAGAGAGGTGAGTGTCTTAGTAGCTTTTTCGAGCTGCTTATGTTGTAAAATTTGCTTAGCGACTTTCTGAACTATAATTCATTTCCATACAATTTATCTATTTAAAGTATTCATTTCAATAGTTTTTAATGTCACAGAGTTGTACAATCATACAATCTTTGTTAGAATATTACCCCAAAGAACCCTTGTACCTGTTAGCAGTCATTCCCCATTGTCTCCTAAATCTCCAACACTCTAAGCAACCATGAATATTTCTCTATATACAGATTTGCCTATTCTGGAAAATTCATATAAATGGGGACATAAGAAAATATGTGGTCTTTTATGTTTGTTTCATTTAGCATAATGTTTTCAAGATTCATCCATGTTATAGTATGTATCAGTGCTTTTTATGGCCGAATAATATTTCATTATATGTTCATTATAGACATTTGAGTGGTTTCTACTTTTTGTGGAATACTTTATGAATAATGGTGCTATGAACACTCATGTAGACATCTTGGTGTGGATTCTGTTTTCTTGGATGCACACCTGGGAAGGGATAGGGGATGAAGGAGTAGTCTCTGGTTTTCTTAGCCTCCCTCCTACAGGTCTGGGCTGGGCGGAAGAGCTCCTACTTCTTGGCTGCACTTTCATGAATTTTAGCCTCAACAACAGGCAGAACCATGAGATAGACCAATGTCCTCCTGCCCAGCCTTTCAACGGGGAGCTGATGGGAAAGAGGCCTGTGTTCTTGGCTTCATCAGTCTATAATAGTTTTGAGAAGGGAAGAATGGTGGTTGGTCTCAATTCACATACCACTGACTCACTATTCTTACAGGCTTAAGATTTTCTTGAATAAATGTTTCTTCATATGCTGTATGCCCTAGAACCATTTCTAGACTTTAAATGACTTATTTAAAATAATTTTCATCACTTTCACTGAGTATCTGCAGAGTTCCTTATGCTCTCATGTGAAATGTGGAGCCAATCAGGATTTCATTTGTGTCTAGTTATGTCTTTTAATTTGGAAGATTTCTTGTATCTGTTTTTATGATTTTGACATTACTGAAGAATATAGCCCATGTGCTTTATGAGATGTCACTTTGTTTGGATTTTTCTGGTTTCTCATGAATGCATTGAAGTTATATATTTTTGTCAGGAGCATCACAAAAATCATGTGTCCTCTGTACACTGAATCAGAGGTACATGATACCTGTTTAACATTACTGTTCTTTTAATTTCAAGCATTTCTTTGAATAGATATACATTAAAAGTCATATCGTATTTTTATTTGTGTGTGTGGAATTGAACCCAGGGCCTCAAGCAGGTACTGTACCACTGAGTCACACCCCCAGTCCATACACAATACTATTTTTTTTTGAAGTTGTAAATGGACAGCATGCCTTTATTTTATTTGCTTATTTTTGTAAGCGGTACTAAGAATCAAACCCAATACATCACTGTGTGCTAGGCAAGCACCCTGCCCCTGAGCACCAGCCCCAACAATACTTTTTTGATTATTAATCAGGTTGACTTTTTTGTTGTTGTTTTGTTACCAGGGATTAAACCCAGGGGTCCTTAACTACTGAATCACATCCCCAGCCCTTTTTTATATTTTATTTAGTGGCAGGATCTCGCTAAGTTGCTGAGGCTAGCTTTGAACTGATCCTCCTGTCTCAGCCTCCTGAGCCACTGAGATTAGAGGTGTGTGCCACTGCACCCAGTAGGTTGAACTTTATGTATTGGCTAATTTGTTATCTGCATGACTGTTCTGCAAAAGTATGGGATTTACATTTATATACATATATAAATGAATCGAGTTTTTATCAATTCTGGTATTCTAGAATTATTGCGGTTTATTGATTCTAAGAATCCCTCCTTTTTTTTATACCTTTATTTTATTTATTTTTATGTGGTGCTGAGGATTGAACCCAGTCTTCATGTGTGCTAGGCAAGCGCCCTATCACTGAGCTACAACCCCAGCCCCAGACCTCCTTCTGTGTTAATGTTACTAACCCTTTGGCATGAACATTGCAAATATTTTCCATACTTTGCTCTTTTATTATGACTTTTTAAAAAATCTTGAACTTTTAAATTTTTATGTAAATAGAGCCATTAATATTTTCCTATTTGGTTTCCACCTTGGGTATCATGTTCATAAAAGTCCTACTAAGATTCTAGAAATTATTTTTACTATTACATACTGATTTTCTTTGTTTCCCAAAATAGGTACGTTTACAAGAGCACATGGGTGAAAAATATACAACTTATAGTGTGAAAGCTCGCCAGTTGAAATTTTTTGAAGAAAATGTGAAATTTTGAGAACTTGTTCTAATCTTCCAGCTCTAAAGACCTATTTTCAAAGTTTGGGGCTTTAAAAACAAACTCTAACAGTTGTCATAAAGCCATTCACCACCCTTTTATATCTCTGGGGTTTTCTTACTGGAAAAAAAATGGACGGAACAGAGTAATATGAAGCAAGTTCACAAAAGAAAAAAATCTTTGACTTTTATATTCCTGAGGGAAAATGTTGCTTTTTTGGTTACTGTTTACTGAGCCTTAAACCACTTAAAGTTTATATCTATAACTTTTTTTTTTGAGGTGTTGATTAGCTTGAACACAGGACCATAAAACATTGGATTGGAAGTTTTATATTGTACTATAGTGATAAAAACAACAAAGAAACAAATGAAATATGTCCAGCGATAACATTTGCTGTTTTTAATAACTTTAGGGAATAGTTGCCATTATTTAAAAGAAAAAAAATCAACTCACTATTCTGGGGGTAGATTTAAAGAAAATGAAGTTCTATGTGGTATTTGAGCAGCTAGATCCTATTTTTACACTTTGATGGATGTTTAATGTTTTCATGTAACATAAGCCTCACTTAGGGTATACAAGTGAATCTAAAGTATTTTGGTTTTGTAAATCATTATGTTTTCACATACTAGTTTTGTTAGATTTATTTCTCCATCAGTGAAAACATCTCTTAATCACTTTTCTAGACAAAAGTTTTTTGTTAAATTGGATATACGTAAGGATATATATAATATTTGTCTCTGGAAGTTTGTCTTCGTGTATATCAAGATATTGGTTGTCTTTCCATGTTTTAAATGTAGGATTTTATATCACATTTTATTGTTTAATAAGAAGTCATACTCTTCTTCTATTAAATAGTTTTCATCAAATATGTTCTGATTAGTAAATTTTTCCTTCTGCATTCAAGGGACTCTAAAAATAAATACTGTTCCAGATGTTTTCAGTTTCTATAAAAATGTGCCTTATTTTCTTTGAAAATTACACAATAAAAATGTTCTCTTTTAGTTCTTAAGTTTTTATTTAATTTTATCTATGTGCCTAGTGTTATGCCAGGAGCTAGATATATCGTGGTGAATAAAACAATACTCCCTGCCTTTACAATTCTCACAGTTGAGTTTCTGGGAGCTCTTATTTTTACTATCAAGGTTTGCTAGAGAACTTGTAAGACCATCTACTCTCAGTGCCTGGGTGGGAGCCAATTTTTGGCAAACTATTGGTCTTCCTGCTTACCTCTTCTTGCATGTTTTAGAGATCCACATTTTTCTCCATAGTCATTGGTATAAAGTAGTACTAATTGTTTTTAGAATCAAAAGAATCTGATCTATACTTTCTTATTCTCATGTTGTTTATTTTTGTCAAAATATTTTCATCCTACTGTCTTGGTTATTTTGTGTTTTTTTTTTTCTTGAATATTTAATTCACTTTTTATCATCTTTTTTTTTTTTTTTTGGTACCAGATATTTAAGTCAGGGGCACTTAACCACTGAGCCACTTCCCCAGATCTTTTTAGTATTTCAGTCTCACTGAATTGTTTAGCACCTTGCTAAGTTACTGAGGCTTTGAACTTGGGATCCTCCTGCCACAGCTTCCTGAGCTACTGGGTATCCTTAATTAATTTTTAAAACAATCTTTTAAATCTATCAATTTTTTTGACTATACCTTTGACTGAATTTCAGAGACTGATAAGATACTTTTTTACATTATACTCTTTTAAAAAAAATTATTTTTATTTGTAAATGGACACAATACCTTTATTTATTTTGTTAATATGGTGCTGAGGATCGAACCCAATGCTAGGCAAGCCTCACATGTACTAGCCTAACCTCTATTTCTTGGATTTTTTTTTCCATTATTGGAACGGTCCTATTGGCATTCAATAAAGGTAAATTGTTATATGCAAAATCACTTATCAAATATTTCAGCAAAATTTTGCATGGTTCAAAATATGGTAGCCACTAGTCTTATTGGCTATTAAGCCCTTGAATTGAGGTTAGTTTGATCAAGGAACCAATTTGTTAATTCCGGGTCTTTGTTACCATGGAGCCAATGTTCTAGTGAGAACAATTATCAAATATATGTTGTGAGATATATTAAACGTCACGCAATCCAGCAAACTAAGTAGGTATGGCAAACTACTGTGTTTCAGGTGGACAGTAGGGAAAGCTCTTTTAGATAGTGACATCTGGTTAGAGACCTCAGTGAAAGGATGAAAGTAAGTTATGCATTTGAAGGAAGGCATTCCAGGAACAGGGAACAAGTGGAAAAGTCTTCCCATATAGCCTATTTGATCTGCCATATTCTGAAAGGTAAAGTATTGGTCTGCAGTTTTGCCAAACTCTTCTATATTTAAGTGTGGTTTATATACTTTACATCGTATTCAATGTATATTGATTATTAAGCGACATCTTGGCAGTTACCATATATCCTTTTTGCTCCAATTATGGATTTCAGACTCTTTCACTGTTAACCTTGCTTTCTGCTTATAATCTGCCCAATATATCCTTTGTCCTGTTTTCAAACTTTGGAATTCATTTTGAGACCATGAGGTAACTTGAATCTGGGCGCTTCTAACTAATCACATTTATTATACTTAATGATGTGTTTGTTCTTATTTCTGTCTTAATCCCCCCCCTCTTTTTTTTTGTGGTAATAGGACTGAACCCAGGGGCTTTACCACTTAGCTGAATCCCTATCCCTTTTTAAGACAGGGTCTCAGTGACTCAGGTTGGCCTCAAACCTGTGATCCTCCTATCTCAGCCTCCTCAGTAGCTTGAAGTAGTTCGTAGGGTACATGACCGTGTCCAGTGATTTTTTTCTTACCTTAAAAAAATATTTAACTCATTTTTACTGTATTATCTTTGATAGTTTCTTAAACTCATAATTTGAAGTTCTATGCCCTGGTACTGAGAAATATAACATTACTTTAAATAATCTTCCTACTGCCATTCCCACTTTAGAAGGAATTTATAGCTTTGTAGGTTTTCACTTTGGTCCACCTTTAAGTAAAATAGAGATTAAATGTTTTCTGCTTAACAACAGCTCTTATTTTAGGGCTACTAAAATGTTCATTTTGCCACAGATTTACATTAGTAAATCTTCAGAAGGGTTTACTATTGTTAAGAATAGTAAACTAAGAACTTCCAGCTACAGAATATGGTGCTTATATTTTTAGAACCATAACTTTAAGTTTTACTAATAAACTTGCAGAACAAACAACCAATCAATGGCCCTTTAGACATGGGTGAGTTTTAAAAAGTTTAACGACTCAATGATTATAAAACTTCAACAAACTGTACTTTTATGAGGCATTTATTCATTATTTATGCATACCTGAAAGAAACACTGCATACTTTTGTTTTCTGTTCTCCATTTCAGAATAAGGTAAGGTCTAAAATATTTATAAACCAAAACACAACTGGGTTAGAAGTGAAATATAAATGACAACTAAATCTACACCCATCTGTGCTGTAAGAGCATAGGTGATTTCAGCTCATGTTTGCATATGAAAGCAACTGGAGCAAAAGCAGGTGGTAAGTCAAGAGAACCCAAATCAGTTATTTTTAGCATGCCTCTTAATTTTTCTGTCCCCTGGTTTCTTGTCTTCTGTGCATGAGTCTTGAACAGGTAACCACTTGAGGGGATGTCGGCGATAGATGGGCCATGGAGGAAGTGTCAGCTAGGCCAGAACAGAGAAAAATGCATAAATTATATGTATTAAAAGTTTAAAAGTTTTATGTATAATGCCTGGTTCCAAAATAACGCCTATTCTAACCAAGGCAACAACTGATATTCCTGTGAAAGTTTTGAGTCACACTGTCCAGACAAGACACTATAAAGAGGCAATGTGAGCACTGTGCGAAATTCTTGCTAGCTTTGACTCTTGCCTGAAGTAGCTGCCAAAGGAAGATGTACCTTTGTATGCAGCTTACACAATCAGACACTACTTGACATTCCACTTTTTCAGTGATAGGAGAAACACTGATGGGAAACATGAAAAAAGAGTTGGTTGTGGTTCTCAGGGGCAATCAAAGCAACCCAACTCAGAAAACTTATGTTGCTACTAACACTCAAATATCCACAAATTTCTTACCAAACAGGAAAAAGCAAATCCGGCCATAACTATATAGACAGTCCATCCGAACTGTTCAGCCACGTACCCGTAGATAAATCCAACTATCTAAAGACAAACAAAGTATATTAAATACAGTCAAGCTTGGGAGGGGGCGATTGAAAAAGATTAAATGTAAAACCAATACTTACTGCAGAAAAAAGAATAATTCCCTGAAACATCTGTTCAGCTAGCTTCTGGCCCTTATAATCCTAGAGGTAATGGAGAGGAAAAAAAGGAATTGGTTCCACCACCGAGGAGATACACTTGGCGCCCGGAACTCACCACTTCGGCAAGGGAAACACTAAGATCAGGGGTTTAAATTTTGAGTTTCCTGGGGGAGCTTGCGCGTCCTAACGGAACATCGACAAGGGAAATCCTTTTTGAGGAAGGGAAGAGGACCCGAGAGGCACAATTCGCGAAAGAGGTTGGAGAGTAACCCCTTAGGCTGTGAGCCGCTCAGCACCGGCTTTAGCGTAGCGGGCTGGGATCCTGTGGCAGCACCTCACCATCTGTGTGGGCAGCGAGCTCAGATGTTCCAGCATGGTTGACTCAGTAGGCGGAGAGCAGAGCGAGAGCGACGGACACTGAAGCGCAGCTTTCAGAGTCTGAGGACGTGTGTCGCCCGGAGGGCGAGCAAAGCCGCGCTGTGTGATGGCCGCGGCCCCGGAAACGGATGTGTCCGCCGAGCCGGGACAGACCGTGGCCCCGCCCCGCGGCATCGCTAGGTGACTGGTGCCTTCCAAATTGGCCGCAGCCCGGCGCACCGTCCGCGAGGACTGAGGCAATGACCGGGCTGAGGCATTACGCACCCGCGAGGGCTTCGCCGTCAGTGCTGCTGAGTCCCGGGAACCGCGGCTCGGGCGCGGCAAACTGTCCACCGCGCCTCCTCGGCTTAACTGCTGCCGGAACGCTCCGGGTCTCCATGGCGACGGCCTTTTTTCGGCAAGGACCCCGGCGGCGGGGCTGTCCCACGGCGCCTGCTGAGCGTGGCACTCTGGTGGTCAAGGCCGCTGGCCAGCTTGGGGTTGTTAGACGGCGTGGCTGCCATCGAAGTCGTGGGCCAGCGGGCAGGTGGACTTGACCCGGAGTGCAGAACACGCGGGCGGCCGGACGGCGGGCTAGGTCCCGGGGCCTGCGGTGCGGGCGCTGAGCTGGCGGGGCGGGCCGGGGCGCGGGCGTCGGCTCCTCCTCCTCCAGTAGGTAAGCCTCGCCTGAGCGGCCGAGGGGCACGACTGGTCGGACCGTCTTAAAGCGGCCTGGCGGGAACCCTGGAGCTTCACACCACCTCTCCGTCACTCCTAACCGTAAGGGGCCCCTGATGACCCCTAGAATTTAGTGGAGGTAGCCTGAGCCATGTCCTCCAGAGAAAGGAAATTCCTTGGGAGTGGTACCAGGTTGTGGGCCGCCCCTCAAATAGCATGGAAAGAGCCTGCGCCCAAGGGGACCTAAATTCGGCCCACTGACCTGCTTGCGGGCTTCATCTGCCCTCGCAGACCCAAGCTGGGCCCGCCCGGTAGAGACCGACCAAGGGTTCCCGGGCTCCTCCAAGGCTGCTGGGTATTTCAAAAGCTTGGACCCTCCCCCGTCATTGAGCACACGACTGCGACGAAGCCCAAGCTCTTGCCTTCCTAGACCCCCAAATATGTCACGGTATACTGCCACATCATCCCAGAAATATATGACAGATGGCTTAGCAATGGGGGAAAGAGGTGGAGGACATGTGGCAGCCCAGGGAGGTGCAGATCAGCGTGGGGCCTGGGAGGTTCCATAAATGCTCAAAGTCAAATTCCAGCTCCCCAGTGAAGTGTTAGGAGAAAGTGGCTCTAGATACTCACTTTCTGCCCTTTCTTTCTACCCTTCAGTAAATGGCCTCTTTTGACACTTTCCCAAGCT